TATTTACACGGAGGGAAGGGTTTGAAAAATTGTACCCAAGATCTGGTTTTCCCCTACCCCCCCCAAAAAAAAGAATTACTACTCGCGAGTACATCGAGAAAAAAAAACCGCCCAAATCGGTGCCGAAAATTCTTGCAACAAAAATTATTTTATTTCTTATTACCTTCCTTTCTTTCATTCTTTTATCCTTTTCCTCTTTCTCCCCGGAGAAAAGAAGAAGAAAGAAAAAAAGAGCAAAATATACAAGAAAAGAATTTATCGGTTCATCAACAACGCAGACTAGAGAGAGAAAGAAAGAAAGAAAGAAAGAAAAAGAAAAAAAAAACATTATTCAACATTCGAACATCAAAATTGTATAAAAACACGAAAGAAACTTTTTTCTTATTTTTTTTAAATGTCTTCTGCTTTGATTCTTTTTTTTTTCTTTTTTTTGCTTTATTTTATTCCCATCGAAGAATGTTTTTTATCTTTTCATTTTTTATTTTTATTTAATTTAATTCGGGAAAACTTTTTTTTCCCCCTTTTTTTTCCTTTTTCCTTTTTTTTTGTAGATTTAAATCGTTAACTAAAGTGCTATTGGCAAAAACGATGTCGGCGACGGCTGCTGTGGCGGAGGCGGAGGCGGAAGCGAACGAAATATAAAAAAAAAAATTTTTTTTTATTTTTATAATTTCTAAAATTTTACTGTGAAAAATAATTTTCCCTTCTCCTCCCCCTCCTCTTCCTCCCCATCATCTTTTTTTCTTCTTCCCCACTTCCCGTCCCATGCTTTTTTATTATTGATATTGAAACGAATTTAAAAAATTTCTATCGATCTACCCCCGATCCGATCGAATCCATTATTATTATTATTATTATTATTACGATTTCTTGTGAGAATTAAAACACGTGAATAAATATTTCTTCTCTCTCTCTCTCTCTCTCTGACTCTCTCTTTCTTTTTTTTTTCTTATTTTTTATTTCAAAAAAAAAAAAAAAATTTCTAATAAAAATATATTTCCATCTTAAAATCAAATAAAATTCACGCTCAGTAAAATTTTCAAATAAACAAAAAAATGATTAGGGATGATGACGATGATGATGATGATAATGATAATAATGTATTTTCTTATACGACTCGCAAGTAAAACAAAAAAAAAAAACAAACAAAAAATAAATAAATGAGGTTTTTCCTAAAAATTTAAAAAGAAAATCTCATATACCATGTGTAAAAAAGTTTTAAAATACAAAAATCTCCACTCTCTTTATCTCTCTCTTTTTCTCTCTCTCCCCCTCTCCCTTTCTCTCTCTTTTTTTTTAAATTTCCTTTTATTACAAATGTTTTCTTTTTTTTTTTCCACGCAAAAATAACAAAAAAAAAAAAAAATGAAAGAAACAAAAAGAAAATTGAAACGAAACATATTGGATAAAGTGTACCTACACCAAAAGCCAATTTCGTATATAAAAATTATTATTATTATTATTATTATTTCCATTCGCCATAAGGTAAAATTACTAAAGGTTTTCTTTATTTTTTGGGGAGCGGGGGTTCCGAAAAGAAAAAAAAAAATTTAAATTTTTCCTTTAAAAAAAAAGCAATTATGCAAACATTTCCACTTCTGTGCATGCATACATAACGCAAAAATACATACGCCTAATAATAATAATAATAATAATAATAATAATAATAATAATAATAATAATAATAATAATAATAATAATAATAATAAAAGATATTTGAAATTTAAATTTTTTTTTATTTGTTTTAAGAGCGGAGGAAAGTAAGAGGGGAATGGGGTGGTCGAAGCGTATCAATTTATGCATTCTTTGTGGTTTCTCGTAAGTCTACTTTTACCCCCCTCCCCACCTCAAAAAAAAAAAAAAAATCGTGGCAGTTGACGACGCGAAAACACAGGACGACCAAAAAACAAAATTAAAAAAAAAAATTTCAAACGTCACTTGAATTGAGAAAAACGAAAATAATTACTTAGAAAAATTTTTAAAAAGAAGAGAAATTAAAAAAAAGGAAGGGAAAGAAGAAGTAGAGAGAAGAGGAGGAGAAGGAAGAGGAAAAGAGGGGGAGAAGGAAGAGGAAAAGAGGGGGGAAAATTATTTTTTTTGAAAAATATTTACAAAAAAAAAAAAAAACTCGTTCGTTCGACTCACGAAAATAAACAACCCCAGCGAAAAATAAATAAATAAATAAATAAAACGAATAAAATATTACGCATCGTGGAAGGAGAAAAAGAACAAGAAATAGCAAAAAAAAAAAAAAATTACATTTAACGCATCTACGACTGTCTATTTCAGCATTGCAATTTTAATGTCGAAAGCAAAAAAAAAAAAAAACGAACGTTTTTGAAGTATGATATGATGACTTGGAGCATATCTCTCATGAGATCGGTGACCAACGAACTGTAAATAATCTTCTTCTTCCACGAAATATTTGAAAAAGAAGAAAAAGAGATAGAAAGGAAGAGAGAGAAAGAGAGAGAAGATAGGTAAATCATCGATTATATCATTCTAATGCAAAATACGTTTGAATTTTTTTTTTTTTTTTTTTTTTAAGTATTCGCTTAAGCAAAAAAAAAAAAATTTTTTTTAAATTTTATTCCAATTTCCCCCGATTTATGTCACGTTTGAAAAAAAAAAAAAAAAAAACTAGTCGACGACCGAATGGAAAATTTTTTCCGACCCCCATTTCTTTCTTTTTTTTTTTTTTTTTTGGAAATTTAAACGTCGGTCGTAAATCTTTGTCGCAATAAAATAAAAAAAAAATTATTTCAAAGCGAAGAGCACGACGACGCGAAAACAACAACAACAGCAACAAAAAAAAAAACAAAACAAAATCGCGCGACAATTATTCAACACAAACGCATTAATTTAATTCGGACAAAGGATTCATACCGAGTTTATACGTGGCAGCAGCATACGCACGCACGCACGCTTTCATACGTACGCACCATTCGCATCTTCTTTTTAAACCGCCGTCGACTTTCCGTTTCCGCCTAACCGTTAACGTTACCGACGATAAAATTAAAAACGAGGGTGAGAAATGTCTAGAAAAGGGATGGAAAAAAAAACCACTTCGAGATGTTTTTCAACAATAACGTGCATCTGACGATGACGACAACGATGACGACAACGATGACGACAACGATGACGACATTTATATTTTTTTCTATCATTTTTATGTCATCATTTAGGACATCGAAAAAAAAAAAAATCACTCTCTTTTCCTTTGATACTAATAATATAATAACAATTTTTTTAATTATTAGTAAAAAAAAATTATTAATAATAATAATAATAATAATAAAAAAGTTAATAAAATATTTTAATTAAAATGATCAGATTTCCACGCTTCTGCTGCTGCTGCCGCTGCTGTTGTTTGTTGTTGTTTGTTTTTTTTTTTTTTTAATAAATACTTTTACTTTCTTTTATTAATTACATATCAGACATTTTTTTGTTCTTTTTAATACTTCGTACTATTTAATTACATTAATTAAACAAAAAAAATTAATAAAATAAATAAACGAATAATAATAATAATAATAATAATAATAATAATAATAATTTTAATCATCGGCCTTTTATAATTTAAATTATTAATGATGTACGAAAGAGATTATTAATTTTTTTTATTATTTTTTTCTTCTTATAAATTTCACGGCGACAATAATTAACGTGGTAATGACAATGTTGATAAAATAAAACTTTTCCCTCTCCCTTCCCATCCTATCCCCTTTCCTCCCCTCCGTCCGCCCCATCTCCCCGAAAAATGAAACCCGGCCGATAGTTCGAAATCGATTGTACGAGTGATCGGATATTCAATTTAAATTTACTGATTTCGTCGGGAAATTTCGCGACAATAATAATCGTTAAGTTTGAAAACAATCTTTAATCGCTACAAACAACAACAACAGCCGAAAAAAAAAAAATTGTCAACGTTAAAAGTCCATCTCACCGAATGAAACCATTTTTTCCTTTTGTGGGTGTGAGAAAAAAGGGAAAGAAAAACCTTTAATTAAAAAAAAAAAAAAAACAACAACGACAGCATGGAAATAACAAATAATTTACTTTTTTCTAACGGAAAAAAAATATTAATAATAATAATAATAATAATAATAATAATAATAATAAACGTAACGTCGGTTATTATTTTAACACAAAAAAAAAAAATATAAAAAAAAGTTGAAATTAAATTCCGAAGGAAAAAAAAAAAAAATGTATACAGATAATTTGTAAAACATCAAGTTACTGCTGCCGCTGCTGTTGTTGCTGTTGCTGTTGCTTCTGTATCGGTTGAGTAATAAAGCGTAATAATTTTAACGGAGAGAAAAGATGAGAGTAAAAAAAAAAAAAAATTAATGTACGGTTATTTTCATTTACTTTATGGTAATAAAAAAAAAAATAAATAATAATAATAATAATAATAATTTTTTTTCTCTCTCCGAGATTTATATATATATATTTTTTTTTATTAAAAAAAAAAAAAAACGCCAACAAACGAACAAACAAACAAACAAATTATAAATAATAAACCTTTCCTTTCGGCAATCTCCGACTTTTTACTTTTTTTTCCTTTTTTTTACGTATCAAACAACCCAAAAAAAAAAAAACAGCAATGATAATAATAATAATAATAATACTTTACGAACAACGAACGAACGAAAGAATTCAATTTGATAAATTTTATAACACAATCCGATGAATGAAATGAAACCTCCATATTGATTTATAAAAAAAAAAAAAAAAAAAAGCCACATATACACACTTTTGACTCGTAATCCGGATATAGTATAAAGGATTGTAAAAAATGCATTATTACTCTAAAGGTAACAATAACAACGAAAACGACAACGACAACCAAAAAAAAAAAAAACAAAGAAAAACATAAAACCCTTTTACACACTGTGGGAAAAAAAAACCTATAAAAGACAAATTTTCCTTTCTTTTTTTTTCCTTTTTTCTTCCTTTTTTTCTTTTAGGTACGTATAAAATTTAATAATAACAAAAACTTACCTTGGGTTTCCTCTAAGAGCAGCGTGATGTAACGCATTAAATCCATTATTGTTTGTCAGCATAATATCCGCATTGTGATCCAAGAGAAGAGTCAACATGTCATCTCGTTTCTTACTAATGGCATCGTGAAGAGGCGTGTCTCCCTCCGAATCCTAACAAAAAAAAAAAAAAATTTATTCATTGCAAAATGTTGTAGCAGTAATAGTGGTAATAGTGGTAGTAGCAGTAGTGGTGGTGGTAGTACTAATAATAATGATTAACTGAAAAAATTAAAAAAAACTCGACCGAATCGATTGTAATTACGACAAACAATCCAAAAAACCAAAATATTTTTTCTTTCTAATTTCATTTCAATATTCATTTCAAATATCGAATCCGTTTTTTATTTTTTTATTTTTTGGGAGGGTTTGGGGGGTGAGGGTGGGGGAAGGAAAAATAAATTTATAATTTCGGTCGTAATAAAAAACACAATGCCTCCTACTAATTTTTATGTTTCTGCTGTAATTAGTAGAAGAAAACTAAGCCAAAAAAAAAAAAAAAAATTAAAAATAAATTATCGTCATGTTGTTCCACACACAATATGATACAAATTTCCGCGTCTCCCCTCCCCCTCCCCCTCCTCCTCCCCGAAAAATAAGAGAAAAAATTAAATTAAATTTAATTTAATTTACAAAAAAAAAAAAAAAAAATTGATTTCAAGAGTTAAAAATTTTAACGCAACGAATTCGATCAAAATACAATTATTATTAATATTATTATTTTTTAAATGGAAAAAAAATGCCAACAGAAGTTAAAAAAAAAAAAAAAAACGAAAAAAAAATCGACGGTCTAAATTTATTTTTTTAAACGATACAATTGAAAATTAATGTTCAGCATACGATAATTCTTCTCGCGATCAAAACCGCCAAAACGTCATGCTTACGACGACAGCATAATAAAATTTAAATATAAATAAAATGCTGTGATTGGTTTAAAAAAAAAAAAAAATTCACCTGAGATGGTATGTTTTTACGTTTGAAAACTTTACCAAGTTGTTACATCACATCATCATCATCATCATTATCAAAAAAATTTTTTCATTCAATTTTTTGTAAAGTCAATCCTAACAAACAACGAAAAACAAACAACCCAAAGGCAGCGTTACGTATACACATTTAATCCTCAACGATCTCAACCACTTTTCTTCCCTTTTTTTTTTTTTTTTTACAACTCATAACTTATCGACTATAAAACAAACACCACCACCACCACCGACAACAACAAACACTTTTTGGTTTAAACAAAGTAACAAACCATAATTTCCCATTATTATTATTATTTAACCTCACAAAAAAAAAAGTTTTTTTAAAAATCAATTATTTATTTCATTTTTTAAAAAAATTTCCTTTTACTTTTTTTTTTTAAGATTTATATTAAATCCTCCCCATACCGCCCCCCCCCCCAGTTTTTTAACAACGGATTTAACTTTTTAAAAAGAAAATAATATATATAAAAAGAGTTTTAACACTAAAATGAATCTTAATATTAATAATTAGCAACAAAAAATGAGGAATAAATAAATAAATAAGAAAAAAAAAAAAAACGAGCGGTAAATTATTTAGTATGAAAATTAACAGAAAGTAAACTTCAAAAAGAAAGTAAGAGAGAGAGAGAAAAGGAAGAAGAGTAAAAGGAAAAGAAAGAAAAGAAAAAAGGAGGGGGGAAAAAAATCCTGATTTTTCATTCATTTAATTTCCATAAATAATTAAGTCCGATTAAGCATTCATAAATTTTGAATGAATAATTTACCACAATCGTCATGTTTCTCCTCTCTCTCTCTCTTTCCCCCCCCCCTCTCTCTTTTTTACAGATACATACATATATTTATTTATTAAGAAAAAAGAAAAAAAGAAAAAACTTTTTTAAATAAATTATTAAATTTAATTATTAATAAAAATAAATTCATAATTTTAAATTACTACCATTATTACCCTCATCATCATCATCATCATAATTCTTTCACTTTGCATAAACGAAAAATTTTTTTAAATAATAATAATAATAAATAAATAAATAAATTTTTTTTTTATGTTTTCCATAAAAATAAAAAATGAAAAAAAATCTTTCGTTGAAATACTTCTTAAAAACAAAAATGGAGTTGAAAATCTTTTCAATTTCGGCTTTGAACAAGAAAAAAAAAAAAAAAAAAAAACTTTTCTAGTTTTCGGGGTTTATACAGTTGAAAAGATGTCGAAAGTAAGAGGATTTATTCGAATTGCAAATTTCCACAAATGGTTTTATGTAAGGCGAAGAAAACCTTTCAAACAAATTTAGTTTTTTTTTTTTCATATTTTTCCTTTTTTCCTTTAGTTTTTCCCTTAGTTTTCTTTTTTTTCATTCTTTCTTTTATTATTATTATTATTATTACTATAAAAAAAATCAGTAGTGACACGTTAGAATCTGACAATTTTTTGCACGTGTACACGAACCCCCCTTTCCGCCTCCTCTTGAAAAAAAAAAACGTCAGAAACGAATTTTTTACGTTCTTTAAAATATCCTCTGTTCCCGCCACAAATGCTTCTGCTGCCACGTCAAAAAGTCATTAAAAAAACGTAAATAAAACGACACTATTCGTGTAAAAATGATTATAACTAAAAAAAAACCTCTGGATAAATATAAACAAAAATAAAATGCAAACAAACAAACGCCTTTACAAAAAAAAAACATGCAAAAATGCAATTTTAATTTACTTAACTCTTAATAATAATAATAATGATAATGATAATAATGATAATAATAAGGAAGAAAACATGAAATGGAAAAGTAAAAAAAAAAATTTTTTTTATGCTTTCACCACTTTTCTTTTACGTTTAACTTTTTCTTCAGCCAAAAAAACCTTAAATAAACGGTTGTCGACAGTTTTCAAATTTAAACGTGCACGTGCACGTGCGTTGGTGCGTTCGTGCGTGCGAGAAAAAACTATTATTATTATTAATATAAATTTATTTTCTCGCGAGAAACTATGCGATAATTCAACATTTTATTTTTTATTTTTTTTTCGTTCTCCTCTTTTCAAAAGCAAACAAACAAACGAAAAAAAAATCGAAATCAAATTTCTTCCCATTAATTTTAATAAATAAAAAAACGATAAATTGTTTTCAATACATTACCCGCCCCCGCTCCCCGCCCACCACAACCGCTGCCACCACTTTCTACCCCCCCTACCTCTCCACTAAAATTCTATTACATATATGAATTCCAAAAAAAAATAAAATAAAATAAATCTTTTTCTCTGTTTTTTTTTTATTTGTTTTTATTTATTTTAACTACTATTATTCAACTATCGATCGATCGATAAATCGATAAATCAACAAATCCACCCGTTTTTTAATTCGAAAAATAATAATAATAATAAATAATGATTTTTTTTTTAAGTACATTGAAACGATTTAATTTTTGGCGACGAAAGTATTCAAATTTTTGAATCGAGAGGGGAAAAAAAAAAACTATTAACGATCCTTAATTCACACCGTTCTCACACTAATTTCTCATTTCCGTTTTTTTCTACCACTTCCTCCCCATCCCCCCCATTCTCCCCCATTTCACAAAAAATGGTACTTTAATTTCAAAACAATGGCGAAAATACAATCAAATATACAAATATACACACAATCGAAAGTGAATTTTTTGAATTCGCGTCTATAATTTTCCATCCTTTTGTTTTAAATACATATATATAGGACAAAAACCGCCGCCATATTGTCACTAATCTTCCCCCCATTTTCCCCCTTTTCAAATACACAATTGTAACACGTATGTTTTTCCTAATAATAATAATAATAATAGTAACAAAGACAGCGTCAGAGGTGTAACTTTGCCAAAAGAAATCAGATTTTTTCGTTTTATTTAAAAATCACCACCACCGCCCCCGCAAAAAAAAAAAATAATAATAATTTTCCGTTTAAAAAAATTTCTTTTTTATTCATCGATGAAAAATAATAAAAAAAAAAACCGAAAAGTAATAATTTCTCGTTGAAAACAAACAAACAAACGAACGAACGAACAAAAAATCAACAGCATAGATTTCTCTCCCTCTCTCTCTCTTTCTATCTGAATTTTATTGCTATCTTTTCATTAGAATTTTCTTTTGTTTTACCCCTCTTATTTTTGCATAATAATTTTATTTATTTATTTTCTATTTTTTTTTGCTTTGTATTTTACCGTTTTAAACGTTGTCATGAGAAAACATTAAAATCAAATAAATAAATAAATAATAATTTTCTTCTGCTTTTTCTTTAATATTTTTTTTCGTCTTTTAGTCGAGAGAGAAATAGAGAGAGAAAGAAACGAAAACGGTTAATAATTTTTTTTTTTTTTTAAGAAGACACAAATAAATAAATAAATAAATAATAAAATAAACTTTGAATTTCTATCTTTTTCTCTTTCTCTCTCTCTCTTTTCTTTATCTTTTAATTACTTTGTTTTTAATAATTATCATTATTATTATTATTATATTATAAAACATGATAGAAACGATAAAGTTTCTAACAGAATTTGGATGACAACATTAAAATTCCTTTGAGACTTACTAAACAAATTAACCATTAGAAAATTATCTTGTTCATTTAATTATTACTGCACCATTCATTGAATTTTTAAAGTTACTTTCAAGACTTCAAGTTTTGAATATATAAAAACTTTTACTTAAATAGTTTTACTAAGCTTTGACAAAAATAACCTCCTTCCCCTCCACTCCCCTCACTCCCCAAAAAAATAAATAAAACAATCGTTTCCTTTTGATATTTTTCTTTATAAAAAAAAAAAAAAACTTCTGCTGTTTTATAATAATAATACTATCAATCACGCGTGACGAAAAGACGAAACAAAAAAATTATAACTATTATTAATTATTATTATTATTAATAATATCATTAATAAGAAAATTAAATTTGCGGGTAACTGCGAGAGAGAGAGAGAAAGAAAAATTATTTTTAATAGAATTTTAATGGGTTTTTTATTAATGACGAAAAAAAATAAAAAAATAAAAAACAAAAAAAAAAAAAGATTTTTCAATACGATGGAAGGGAAAAGAATTTTCCTTTTTTTTTTTTTTTTTTTTAAAATGCCAAAACGATTTCCGATAATGTTTTTTTCACTTATCAGTAACAAAAAATTATTATCATTATCATTATTATCATTACTAATTTATTAAAAATTTAATATGAGAAAAATAAAAAAAAGAAAAAAAAAAAAATTCTTCATCAGATTTTTTGTTTTTTTTTCGCAAATAAAATTTTTCAACGGAAAGTTAATTATTATTATCATCAGAAAATCACGTGAGCAAACATTTTGTAATAATAATAATTATTATCGTTACGTAAA